CACACACACACACACACACACATGTATTAATTTAATACATATCGATATCATGTCTATACGAGACACAGTAAATATATTAAACAAAATCAAAATGCTGTGATTAAAGATGTATTACACCTATTTTTATTTATAATGAAAAATTATAGATTATTCTAGATCGCGTTTAAAAGTAATACAAAAACTTTTGCGATGGTTTAGAATCTGAATCAAAATTATTTAAATATAAAATAGAAAAAAGCTTTAATAAAAATGTAGTTAAGAAATAATGACAAAAATCAAACTTCAACTTTTTTGTACAAATACTTGAAATATTCAAAATGATTTACATAAAGTTTCATTGCAACGCGGAGATTAAATTTTTATTAAGAGTATAAACAAAACAAACGGTGGTAAATAAAAATAAATTTTTATTTACAGAACAACTGATTTTTACATCACAGTAAAACTTTACACAAATAATCTTGAATTAAAGTATTTGAATTAAAGTATTTATATAGAAAAAATTGAGATTTTTTAAAATTATTTCTTAATTATATTTCTGTTAGATTACACTTCTGTTTATTTATTTAAATAGTTTTTCATCCAGATTCTAAACCGCCACTAAACTATTTTGTATTATTTTTTAATGCAATTTAGAATCATCTGTAAATCTTTCATAATTATTTCATTATAATATAAAATATAAAAATAATAAAAATTGTGTGATATATCCTTAAAGGAACTGAGATATTTTAATTCGACATAAAATTCAACTTCAGAACCTGAAGCGAAGGTCAACGTCGCGAAACGATCGAAAGCGGCAAGAAACAAGCGGTTATCCTGTTTGCTTACTTAATGCTTGTTTGCATTCACGCATAAAACTGAACATTTTTTTTTCTTAAATCAGGTTCGAGTGGAAAGCCAGGACGACCACGACAGAACGCGGGAGTTCGTATGGAAGAGGTCGTCGCATATCGCGCATTTGGTGTCGCAAAAACTTTCCTCGGCCACCAGGTCGATGCTACGACCGCCGCCAGTTTCACCTTAAGCTGCATCATACTCCTGCCGCATACTTGATCCAACTTGGAAACCGCCAGTAATCGCCGATCAAAGTAGGGATTCGATTCACGATGAATCCTCCATTGAGGACCGAATGTAACCGCGATGCCTATTGCCATCGCGCTCAATCGTTTTAACGGGGTGATACATCTGTCATCGAGTCGCGAAAGCTGCACCGTAACTTCGGCGGTCTGGAACTACTAACTATAATTGGATTCTTATTAATAAATCGATTTCTTTCACTTGCGAGATAAGCAAAAGCAATCGCGAGAGAAAGCAACGAAGCATATACAGTGTCCCACTTGTGCACCGCGCGTTTTTTTTTGGTTTTTTTTTGGATAGTCGCTCGTTCAATTCGGAGTCGATTTTTCCTTGATAATTTACAGTCGATAAAATCAATTCGTCAAAATAAAAAGTCGGTAAGTTGCAGTTTAGAAAATAAATGACAATATTACATTTAATTAATTTTACATTTCGCTGTTACTTTACTGTTAAAAATAAAATCAATGTCAATTTCTCTCCAACTATTTTCGCTAAGAAAGATCGATTCCTTATTCAGGAAAAATGTGGCAAAAGAGGGACGTTCTATGTAATATGAATTTCATGTTGGATCAATTTCGGCTGTACTTTATTTATTATTTATTTATTTATTTGTCATATAGTTTGTAATTTGCCTTCAGAAAGTCTGATATATGTACTCTAGAAATGTGGTTATATGTCGAAATATGTAGATGCAAGCCATTATATGAGTTAGATCATTTTATTTAGATTAATGTAAAAGAAATCTGTTGCCAGAATATTAGAGTACAGAATGTATGCATGAAAAATGTGTTTATTTTTATACCACCCGAACCTTTCCTCCTTTCACTTTACGAAAAAAAGAATTTCGTATCTCCATTGTATTTTGATTTCAACCATGCAATTTATGCGAAAAAATTAAAATAACATGCATCTAAAAATATAAAAATAGTTTTAACATAATATTGCAATACTATGTAAAAGAAGAAACACTCTATATACTCGTATATCATATATCATTTCAGATAAGATATGCGTTTGGTGTACATGTCGCGATAAAAATTAAATAATCTTTAAATTAAGCACACTTAAGTAACGATATACACAGAGAGAAGATTTCTCAACTTTCATTAGAAAGGAAATTTTATCTCAGCAGTCCTCATTATAATGAGGTTGCACCGTTACATTATTACAAATATTGTTATACGAAAAATGCGTTTATTGCGTTTATTGATATTGCGCTATAAAATATCTTTGCATTTCTTCGGCTTTGTTTAAATGTTAAAAATATATATGCTTTCCGTTTTAAATTAATCAAAGCTTGTCTTTAATAACATACTTTGATTATTTTGATTTAAAGAGGGAATCTTTATATAGATAAGATTCTCGTCTGCAAGTTAGTGCGATATATAGTGTCGTCTCGCTGCCAGAAATAAACACAGATTTACATACAATGTTTTCCCTGGAATGTATACGGCGATGTGCTCCGTGGCTTGATTCCCAATCAATTGCACGTACAATTTACCTGTGTTTTTCTATGGTCCTTGCTTGGCTCATTACATAATTAGTTCATTGATTGTACTGACAAATTACAATGTACAATAACAACGACAGTGTGAAGATCGCTTAAATGACTCTTGAGTAAACATCATTGAGATGCATACAAGAATATCATAAAAACTATTGATCGCGATGATCTTCCTGAAAATTCTTATTTTATTGATTTAACAAAAAAAAATTGTTTTAATTCATGGAGTCTATATACATACAATTTATAAAATTGATTTATAGAAATAAAAAAAAATTTGTATGTATAAATTTGTGGTGTGTGTGTGTGTGTGTGTGTGTGTGTGTGTGTGTGTGTGTGTGTGTGTGTTGTGTGTGTGTGTGTGTGTGTGTGTGTGTGTGTGTGTCTCTGTATATATATTTTATTTACTAACTACGCCGTCCCACCGACCGGCCGCCGCCCCTCCCCCCCACCCCCACCACACACACACACCACAAATTTATATATATAAAATTTTCTTTTTATTTCTATAAATCGAGTTGTTGAAAAATCTTGTTATAATTTTTACTTAAATGTGTGTTGCGTTAATATTCATACAAAGTTGTGTATGATATACAGATGATGCAATGCGAATGTGCACGCTGCATCGTGCTTGCTCGCTAAACGCTGTCTAAATAACCGTGACGGTAAATCATTCTTACGCGAAACAAAAAAGAACAAAAAAAAAGAGAGAAAGAGAAACTTGTTAGAGAGGATCAAGTGACACTCTCTTTCACTCGAATTAAACGAATTTTATGGGGAGCGTGCTCGGGAGCGTCAACGCGCACGCGCAGTGGACCCAGCACTGACACGTGCGAATGTTGCTTTCGTTCGCGAAGAGCAACATTGAAACAGTCGTGGCCGCGACTTCGACGCGGTTCTGTACGAACGATAGGAGGATTTACGCGTTGCGTTTCGCTCGAGCTTTCCTCGATTCATCCCTACTCCGTCGTCGCCGCCGTCGTTGCAATGTCGTCGTGACGAGACTCGTAAAGTCCGAGGAGTCGTGGCGCTAAGACGAGGCACGATCCGTCCGCGGAAATCAAAACACTGCGACTCGCTAAAAATTTCGCACGGCGTACGTGTTCGCCGTGTGCGTGCATCTCCCGTGTACACGTCCCGCGCTCACGCACGCGTACGCGTACGCCCGCGCGTCCCTGACGCAAATGCTCCTGTCGCTCCGTTGCTATCTCGTCTCGTAATCCCGAAATAGGATCAAGGATAACGACGTTGTAAATTTTTTTGCGTCTACGTGCTGCGGCGAGAAACCGGTCGGCTTGCGTTCGAGTAAGTCTTCTTGGAAGATTATCATATCATTTAAATATTGTTACTGTAATAATACTATAGTAAAGCAACTCGTTTATAGTTTAATAACTCGTGCAGAATGCAGAGAGAAAGATTAAAAAGGAGATAACTTAAATTCGATAAGATACATATATCTTATCGAAGGAAAAAAAGAATTTTTCTTTCTTTCAGATTTTCGTTTTGAGCAGAACAGCATCTTATAAAATGGTTTCGTTAATGACAAGCGTCAGAGTCACTACCTCTCTTTATCATTTGTGCGCTTGTACCGCAAGGACATTGACCACGAGCGCGATGCCAAGTCCTAAGGATGAGGCGAAAGAGGTGATTATCAACTATTTGGATGGGAAGGACAATGGCATCGCTGTCTTGGGATTGAACAGGTCTGCAGCTCGGAACTCCTTCGGGAAGACTTTGGTCTCTCAGTTGAACGAAGCACTGGCCTCCATCAGAGAGAACAACAAACTGAGAGTGCTGATAATTCGCAGTTTGGTTCCGAAGATATTCTGCGCCGGAGCAGACTTACGAGAGAGATTCAAAATGGACAGTTCCGAAGTGCCGCGATTCGTGTCTTCTCTGAGAAGTCTCATAACCGACGTGGAGACCCTGCCAACGCCAGTGATCTCGGCCATCGATGGTGCAGCGGTGGGCGGAGGACTGGAGCTTGCGTTGGCCACCGATATCAGAGTCGCCTCCTCCGAGGCAAAGATGGGCCTCGTAGAAACGAAACTGGCCATAATTCCAGGTGGTGGCGGAACTCAGAGACTTCCAAGGATAATCGGAGTAGCCAAGGCTAAGGAACTGATCTACACTGCACGGATTCTGGATGGCGAGCAGGCGATGCAGATCGGTTTGGTGAACGAGGTAGTTCCGCAAAACAAGGCCGGTGACGCCGCTTACCAAATGGCCCTCTCAATCGCGAGAGAAATCTTGCCTAACGGTCCTATCGGTGTTAGGTGAGTCATTCATGTCATAGTAATAAAAATCTTGTTACATAATTTCGTAAGAATTTGTTTAAAAAATATAAATAATGAAAAGTAATGTAAATTATAAAAAGATATGAGGAATGAAGAAAAATAAAATAAGGATAAAGAAGTAAAGATATTAATTATATATAAAAGAAAAATTTCTAAAATTTGTAAAAAATCGACAAAAAATTTCTTATATGTCAAATCACGTCATTATCATTATTATTATTCGTAAGAACGGATATTTAAATGTGACGATGTGCTTACTCAGAATTGTTGATATCATCACTCATGTATTATATAATATATCACACCACAGAGGCTTATCTTGTGCTTATCAAGCATGAATAACGAGTATTTCTCCATCTATTATCTATTTTACTTACAATTTTCATTTACTGACAAAATACAATATTTATAACATTTTTTAAATCTTATGCTATATATATTGTACAGATTGGCAAAAGTGGCTATATCTAAAGGAACGGAAGTATCTCTAGAAGATGGTTTGGAGATCGAGGGGCAGTGCTATAGTAAACTTATCGACACGAAGGACAGAATTGAAGGACTCACCGCTTTCGCGGCGAAACGTGTACCTATCTACCAAGGCGCTTAAAAACTCATGGCATCGCCATAACAAACGCTTAATTCACATATCATGAAACGGATATATTTTATATGCGTTTTACATCGCGCAAGATATACTGTGTGTGTGTGTGTGTGTGTGTGTGTGTGT